TTGATTATCGCAGTCATGGTGTAACCGTGCTCGTGACTCCAAATCTGAGGAAGACAACTGTTAGTCTGGAGGAGACAGGACCGTCTGGCAGTGGCCCCCGGTTAATAGATTCAGAGCCGCGAATCATCTCCGCAAGCTGAGCCGTGGATTACATTGCTGGGAGACGGTTTAGACAACATTTGTTTAGCCTGATGGAGAGCATGGGGCTCCAAATTCCACGCTTCGCAATTGTATGTATGTCCTTGAATGATACCCCTACTTTCAATGCCATTCTGTATCAACATTCTTAAACCTGTGATACTTGTAGAGTGCTCCGTAGTGCGTTTGGAGGAGTCGTCTGGTTGTGAAATAGAATATGGTCAAAATGAGACCTCGGAACGGCAGTTAATCCAGCGCCATCTAGCCAATGGGAAACAGGGAACTCAACGTGTTCGGAGTACTGGTAAAGGGCCAAGCATCCACTTAACAAAGTTTAATTGAGCTAAAATGGATACAGACACAACAAACCCTTGTAACAACCAACAACTTCCCCCCAACAAAACAGCAAAAACGTGACTTGGCTTCCCCAACATCTCTTAAAGTTTCCAGGGGTGTTTCCCTGGATTCGGTTTAGTGCAGTGGAAGCTTAAAGGACCCCTGAAGAGCAACGCCGAACTTTGTATCATCAAAATGAATCGCGTAATCTCCCTCGGCAGCCATTCACATGTGAACTCCGTTGTTGAGAGATATCAGATAAAAGTAGTCTAGCTGTCACATGTACTTTCAGGAGAAGAAATCCAAAGTACTGACTGTGAGCTTGTCATGCTGAAGGGGCAGGCAAAAAATACCTACTACTGATTGATTGTTCTATAATTTTCATGATCGCCATCGAGCTGTTGCTTTTTCCGCTGGATGTTCCGAGGCATACATGTGTACACACCTTGGCGAATGTGCACCAACCAAATCGCCTATTCCTGGCGGCAGATACGATGTATGCAAGTCATGATCAGATTGGAAAGCTACCCGTCTTATGTATAAAGTGACCGTCTCACCTTGTCATAAAAAATACCGCCAGATCCTTTTGAATGTATTGGTATTGTATATTTATCAGTGCTGAGGGATTGACCAATTATTGAAGAGGCGGTGAAAGAGCTTGGCCAGGCACGTTCTCGATTTTCGTCTCATCAAGGGACCACTTCTGTTCCTGCGAAGTATCAGACGAAGCATCTCATGATCGGAAATTCCGACATCAAACGAGTCAATTGGGGCAAGGAAGCCTCCCACATTTCTGCCCCAACCAAAAATCCAGAAAGTTTAAAAGCTGCTCCTCGAATCGTGAGTTCGGAATATTTCGCGGTTGTTGCAAATGAGAAAAATCGTACCATGGCAGAAAAAGCTAAATTGTGACCCGTTCCTGAGTGTAAATTACCAGAGGTATTTCAACCGTAATTTGGGGTTGATTTTCAATACCGTACCATCTCGGCAGCACTGTGATATCTGGTCCAGTGTGATGCAGTTGCTTCGCCAGACTCGTGTTGCTGAAGCTGAAATGCTGTGAGATCAACAGAGTTGATGCTGGTGATTGGCTTCCAGATGGGGCAGCATGATTGAGGAGGTAGTATGTAGGACTGTGAGATCAAAAGATTGTGAAAGCGTCTGGTCCAATCTGGTCATTAGGTACTTTCACTTATCACTGTTAATAAGTGTTACATACAACTCCAGCTCAGCAAGCCCTATCTTCTGGAACACACCAAATGCTGTCATTGTCATGTTCTGCAGCCACTAGGTATTGCTGGATATGTCTTCAAGCTGCTCATGAGCACTTTTGTGAGGCATATCTGGAAACTTGAAAGGCACCAATGCCTCCAACCTTACTGAGTAGAACATGGAGTGGATCTGATAGATGTGGTTCAATGTCAGATGAAAGTAATCACGCCACAAACAAATCATATGGATCAAACACTCTGTGATCGTTGAGCTGAAGCTGCAGAAAGTATTGTAAAGTTCACACCTCAGCCATTGCCAGTTTTGTGGCAGAGCTGAATCATGGGCTGTCCACAAGCAGCTCAAAATTTCAAAATCAGGTGGTGTAATTTAATACGACAGTACATCCTTACATAGCTCAAACGAAAGCTTGGCGCTGTTAGAAGTTCACAAGCTTCTCTGGAAACGAAAAAAAAAAGATTCCGTGGACCCTTCTTTGCACCCGCCCTCTTTTTCATCTTCTCTGGTTCACCCCCTCTTCACCACTCTCTCTCCCTCTCAACCATCAGTGTTCTCTTCTCGCCTCTGTGAGCATGAGCCTAAACTGAGGCCCTTCTCAGATTCGCGTCATCTGGATGGTAAGTTGTTCAGGAACCCGAGTCAAAGTCGATTCGAAGATATTCCCACATTATTGGCCTTATCTTTCGGATATGATTTCGCATTGCGTCAACTCTCATATTCCAGATACTAATTGATCAAATCTGCAGTGTTTTTGAAGTTCTAGTCAATCCGTTTCGCTTCTTAAGCACCACTCGGGAGGTGTGCTGAATCCTCGACGACTTGCTAAACATCAGTTCGACAGAGGCTTTGTACCCAGTATCAGCCTCAAAGACGGAGTGCCGAGTTCCTAATCGCTCTTGAACTCTTCGTGAGACGAAAGCCAACGACACCGCCAGCATGGCTTCCACAGCAATTCCGAAACGCATGGCGTTGCACCGCCAACTAACTGAAAACTCGTCAGTCACGAGCTCCGTAACTGCTTCGCCGATGGAAAGTCCTCGACATTCGCCTTCCACAACGTCTCTCTCTTCGTTAGCTTCTGAAGCATTGGACGAAGGTCCGGGGAAATTGCTGGATACTTATGGAAATAACTTTGAGATTCCCGATTTTACCATCAAAGAGATCCGCGACGCCATTCCCACACATTGTTTTGAGCGAAGTGGTCTTCGAGGCCTGTCATATGTCTTCAGAGATTTGGTGTGTCTGGGCGTGACCTTTTACATGTTTCATAATTTTGTGAAACCGGAATATATCCCTTCCACTCCTGTCCGCGCTGGATTGTGGGCTCTGTATACTTTCATTCAAGGACTTTTTGGCACTGGTGTCTGGGTTCTCGCACACGAATGTGGTCATCAGTCCTTCTCGACTTCCAAGGTCTTCAACGACACGGTTGGATGGATCCTTCACTCCGCTTTACTTGTTCCATATTTCTCCTGGAAAATATCACATGGAAAGCACCACAAGGCAACTGGCAACCTTGAACGAGATATGGTATTCGTTCCCAAGACTAGAGCACAATACGCTTCGCGCATGAAGGTTTTCGTCCATCAGTTAAGCGAGGTCATGGAAGAGACGCCAATCCAGACGGCCACTCACCTCATTCTTCAGCAGCTGTTTGGGTGGCCAACGTATCTGATTTCCAACGTTACCGGGCATGACAACCATGAATGTCAACGTGAAGGTCGAGGCAAGGGCAAGAAGAATGGCCTGTTCACTGGGGTCAATCACTTTAATCCTTCGAGTCCATTATACGAGGCGAAAGATGCGAAACTTATTGTCCTCAGCGATATTGGCTTGCTGATCATGGGCTCCGTTCTGTATGTCCTTGGTAACAGATACGGTTGGACCAATCTTTTGGTTTGGTACTTCATTCCATATCTATGGGTGAATCACTGGCTCGGTATGTAATCTTACCTTAGGGGAGGTTCTCAGGTGTCCCTAGCTAACTCGGGCAAATATTCTCATAGTCGCCATCACCTACTTGCAACACACTGATCCCAGCCTGCCTCACTACCATTCTTCAGCCTGGAATTTCACGAGAGGCGCGGCAGCGACGATTGATCGCGAATTCGGTTTTATTGGCCGCCAGCTCTTCCATGGTATTATCGAGACTCACGTCCTTCATCACTATGTTAGCACCATTCCATTCTATAATGCGGATGAGGCAACGGAAGCCATCAAGAAAGTTATGGGCAAACATTATCGTGCAGATACTGAGAACGGCAGTATTGGATTCATCAAAGCCCTGTGGCGTAGCAACAGGATGTGCCAGTGGGTCGAGCCGTCCGAAGGAGCCCGAGGTGAAGGCCAAGGCGTTCTGTTTTTCCGAAATCGCAATGGCTGCGGCCCAAGACCACTTGTTATGGAGCCAGCAGATGGAAAATCCAAATAGGAAACTCTTGGTTTTTTGAACATATGGATACTGATAGAAGCACGCAGAAATCAGGTCGCGGTTGCTACATAATTAATATCCACAAGGTTCCAGTGGTTTTGGTCCGTCAAATTATCTTCCGGTTTCGAGGCCCCTAGAGGATGCATGTTCTCAACTGGGTGCGAGATGTGCTCTCTGGGAATACCCAGTGGCGCCATGCTAGAAGAATGCTTCTCCTGAGGAAGATCGTATTCACTGAATTGTGGATTTCAGGCTATTCTATAAGCAGTGGTTCAGCAGTTTGCCAGCATCACAACTCGCCGCCGACATTCTTTCAGGGTGGCCATTACCTCCATTTTATTTATACCTTGCCTGGCCTTCTGGATACATACATTCTACTACTTTCCCTCGGGGTAAACGAGCCTGTGTCATAGATCAATAGATATCATGAATAGACTAATTCTTCATTAGCTTTGCCTTCGAGTAAAATCAATCTGAAATCAGCACACTCACAAAGTAGTAGAACAGGTTACGCGAATACAAGAATCAAGTGCATCAGGTTTCAGAGTGTCGAAATTGACGCTTCTGGGCCTGCTGAATGGTGATGCAGCTCAAAGCAGCCTTGGGCAGCTTGTTTACTTTGGGCGACTGGTCACGTCAAAAATTGTTGGCTATTCGTTATCCTGCATTCTCGTCCACAACGATGATCCTTTTCTGATCACACTACAGGTATATACACAGTACAACACATATTGTGGCAAATGTACTGTAATTCCCGACAGCACTATCTGGAATCACAGGAGCGTAAACTTGCAAAAGCTTGAAATCGGAAAGAAGTGTAAAGCAAGAAAAAAAGAAAGAAAAGAAAACAAACCGCAGAAAAAAACACCTCAGACGGGACTCGAACCCGCAATCTTCAGGTTAGAAGCCTGACGCCTTACCATTAGGCTACTGAGGCCTACTCAGTAATTAGGTTTAACGCATTTTAGCCCTATTACCTAATCTTAAGTAGACGTAACTTGATGGCAACAGCCCTCAAGCAGATGCGATTCAGTGCTCTCTATCACAATATTAAAAATGGATCAGTACCCAAGACATGATGATGAAGAAGATGATACTCAGAGAAGAGGTCAGGATATACTAAAATGTATCTGATATGACGATCATGTTGCCCATCAAAAGCAAAATCTCCAAGATGTTTTACAGGGTTGAAGTAAGAATCAGGATTTAAATGGCAGAAGAGCTCATGGGTTTTCAATTTGAGCCACATGTGCCCCGGCAAGGATGCCTATGTCAGGAGGTTATAGAGTGTGTGATTGTGGAGGCGATGGTTACAAAAACAAGACTTGTTATTGACTGACAAGAGAAAAGAAAAGTCACCCAAAGTAACCCAATGATGTCCAATCTATACAAACAAATGCATGCGTGCATGTATAGCACATATATCGGGGGAAATACTACTAACCTCTGATACAGCGTCACGCCGCCCCTTTAGGACATCCACAAAACAATATGCCACGGATTCCACTAGGCAAGATCTCAAATTCTGCAGCATCTAACAGAGTGAATGCTGACCTGTTTTCATATCCCGACACTGGTGCTTTCTGGTCACTCTCTAACTTCGAAATGGAATTTCCCGACGTCCAAGGTGAGAAAATTACCTGCATCTTTCGTTTTCGGCGAGACATTGGGGTTTGGAACAGGGTTGTATTTGCCAATTGGCTGGCACTTTGATCTTGAGTTCCATGGTCGGAACAAGTTTGAGAGACCCGATTTCCGTTGTCCCGCATCTTTTCAATTACCTCTTGGTCCTCATCTTCACCTTGGCCAGGTACGTGGCTCCGGTTGTTTCCTTGGGCTAAGAAACAATTGCTGTTCTTTGACACCTCCTTTGAGAGACTCTGCGTTACTTCGCCGTCGGCTCGGTGTTGATCTGAGGAATCAACAGGTGGGTTTGGATTTGATTCTGGCTCATGATTGGGGATGATAACAGTGGGAGAATCCTCTATCTTCAGAATAATTCGACAGCCCAGTTGATTTGTCCAAACAAGCCCTAATGCTGGCGTTTTCCAGGCTTCTGGCTCATAAGGATCACCCCACCCAGTGTAAAACGGTTGTTGATATGCGAAACTTAGCAATGAGTTAAGATTGCGAATATTCAGATGGGAGACCTCATTGTTCGAATGATAGTCATTATCTGGTGGTAGTGGTGTAACACCTTGTGCGATGGCTGCAGGGCTCTGAGTTTGTCGTAGTAACAACTGAGATGAATGCGAAGGAGGCGATTGGTATGTCAGGGAAGAAGACATATGCTGAGAAGATTCAGGACATTGTGTTGAAATCTGGGGCGGAAACGGTTCAGCCAGTCGATTAAGTAGATATTCTGGTTCTTCTGCCCACGTCAACCCATCTGAATGGTTTAACCTGTCAGATATCTGGTTGGCCACGACGATGGCAATATTATGCTTCACGGCCAAACTCCGTAAAAGCTGCCCTAGCTTTTTAAGCTCCCAAGCTCGATCAAGTAGACCAGTAACGTTGTCCGTGGAGCTCTCGGCTCGGTAATTTGCTGTTATAGAATCGATAACCACAAGGCCAATATTCTGTCTCAATATGGCGGCTGGAACATGGTAACTAAGTATATGGTCTTGGGTTTCGAGGTCGACAGTGGTAATACTAAGCACATTATCCAGAGAAGGTCGCTGGGTGTCCGAAGGAAGAGTCGACAGGAAAGAATGCTCTTTAAGGAGCTGAGAGAGCCTATTGGTAGCTAGATGCGCCTCGGTTGAGACGTATAAGGCATTCTTGCATAGCCCGTGGGGAGGTGGAAGCTGGACGGAAAGGAGCAAATGAAGTAGAAGCTGGGTCTTCCCGCTGCCGCTACAGAGCACAGTCCCAGTCAGTTAATCATGAAGCAACGAGTTGGGCGTCCGGATAAGCCAGTAGAAAAGTACCTTTCTCCAGATATTTCCGTCACATAGCCAGTCGATATCCCACCTGCAAGAAGATGGTCTAGGACAGGGTCCAACGTGCTGACGAAGGACAGGCTGGGTGGTTGAAGAGCCACGCAAGCATCCTCACCATCGTCCGCATCCTCGTACCGTCGTTCCACTCCTACCTGTCTGTTCTCCCTTCGCCTTGTCTGGTATCCGTCTAGCCCAAGATCGCGGTGCAGCGCCTCCAACACATGGTTTGTGAGCCTGCGAACCTCCGCGACCGGGATCCGCGTTCGTTTCGCGACTTCGAGGGTATCAAGCAGCAAAAGCTCTTTTACCGATATTTCTGCCTTTTCAAGTTTTGGTAAGATATGAGCATAGGGTTCAATGGGAAAATCAGGGACAGTGGTCAGCAAGTCCATAAGTGACTTGTGACTTGCATTTCAGCGAGTGTGAAGTTGTGAGGTTTCTTCCTCCTGAACGTCACCATTTCAACCACTCGGTTCAACAGGCTGTTCCCCTCGACTTGTAAGGATTTACTGGACGAACTGGCTACAGAATGTCTGCTATGTATATCGTGGCTAGGAAATGCGTCAAAAAACTCCTACAGCGATGAAATCGGCTACCAACGGAATCTGCTCCAATGCTCATGGAGAGCATCTCTGTCGATGCTTTCGATTCTCTAGCATGTACCCCGAGTCTAAGGAGTACGTATACATATACCATACTTCCACCTTTCTTGCTAGTTGCCATGATAGTATCAACGGCTTCCAGAAACTCTCGGAGATTTCTCATCGAACTCGGTCAACTTGATGATATGCAATTCAGGCATCGTCATGTCTTCAGAGTTACATCCCAGAGACACACCTTGCAACCACAACCAGCCTTCAAGGTTCTGGCGTCGGTGCATGGCGGGATAGCTTGCCCAGCCAGGCTTGAATGCGATTTGTCGATTACTAGTGAACAGCGGGTTCCTTAACGCCTACTCTTTGGAATATGTCCGGGTACAAATACAACTATCACAGAACCCTGCCATACCCATCATCGCCGTCTCCAATCGTCTCCAGTCAGATTCACCTTCGAAGCGTGGACCTGCCGCTTTGGCTCATCTCCGGCGGCGTTTTGCACCCAACGTCCCCTGGTCTCTACATGGTTTCGGGTCGTTTAGCCATGCTTTGACCACAGTGGGCAGCATTGAAAGCTTCTCTGCAGTCCCAAGCGGGGTATTCTGACCACATCCTTGCGAGGCGGTTGAACCACGCTCAGTCCTGTTAAAAATTATATGAACCACTGGTTATCCGCAAGCTTACCATGACTGGGACATCATTTTTCCTCTTTCGTTCTTAAGACGCATCGAACTAGCCTAAGAAACTGGCCGTCATCAATCATCTTACATATGCTCTTCTGAGATTCGTTCTTGGGCTTTAAATGATCCAGAAGGCCCTTTCTTTTCCCCAATTTCCTTATTTATTCCCGAAAAGCCCCTGCGTATTTTTGAAGAGCGCTGTACCGGAGCGTAATCCTCGTTCCAGATACCATGACTCAACTTCATCCTTTAGATCAACTGCGAGCAGAAGAGATTCTCCAAGCTCGAGCAGTTATACTCCAAGTCTGGCCTGGAGCACTACTTCGATTTCGTTCCATATTCCTCGAGGAGCCTACTAAATCGTCTTTGATACCGTTTCTCAACGCAGAACATACTGGCATCCTCAGCAGTGATACTCCCCGTCCTCCTAGGCTGGCTCGTGTGCAATACGATGTGGTTGATGCAAATAAAATTCATGGATACACAGAATCCGTGGTGGATGTTGGTCTGAAGAAGGAGGTCAATCGAGAGGCATTTGACCCTTCTTGCCAGCCCTATCTGACCATGTAAGTTCTTTGCAAAACTTGAAAGAGTTCATCCCTATTGATCAACAAATTATTTGCATCTAGGGAGGAAATGAAGCATTTTTTTGATCTCTGTCTTCCATCCCCGCTGTTCAAAGAAGCTGTATCCAAGTTCACACTGCCAGAAGGCTACGAGGTAGAGGTTGAGCCTTGGCCGTACGGTTATTCTAATCCAGGAGAGACCCCTCCTCGCTATATTCAAGGACTATGTTTCGCGAAGGACAAACGCAATGGAAACTTGGATTCAAACCATTATTCCCACCCGATCCCGATCATCGCCGTTCTGGACGTGTACAAACAAGAAATTATCAAGATAGAGAAGCTAGCTACTGGGGGAATTGCAGATGGCTTGGCGTATGATACTCATCAAGCCAATGTTGTTGATCATTGCTGCCCAGGGGAATATGTGCCAGAACTGGCAGATGTGGAATACCGTACGGATATCAAACCATTAAACATCATACAGCCGGAAGGACCGTCCTTCAAAGTGAGCAACCAGAGTTTGGTTGAATGGCAAAAATGGCGGTTCCGGGTGGGATTTAACCCTCGTGAAGGTGTCACTCTTCATGACATTTATTACGATGGTCGCAGCGTTTTCTATCGTTTAGGCTTATCTGAGATGACAGTCCCTTACGGGGATCCTCGGCCACCTTTCCATCGAAAGCAAGCTTTTGACTTTGGCGACGGAGGTGCTGGTCGTTCCGCAAATAACCTTTCTCTAGGATGCGATTGTTTGGGTGCCATCAAGTACTTGGACACTTTCAACGTTGACTTCTCTGGAGAGCCAATTCCAGCTCCAAACGTGGTATGCATCCACGAACAAGACAATGGTATTGGATGGAAGCACACGAATTTCCGCACCGATCGGCCAGTTGTGACAAGATACCGTGAACTTATTGTCCAGGAGATTATTACGCTCGCCAACTATGAATATGTTTTCGCATACAAATTCGATCAAGCTGGAGCTATCAGCCTTGAGGTGCGACCAACAGGCGTTATCTCAGTGGTGAACATTGATCCAGGAAAAACTTCTCCATGGGGAAATGTAGTCTCACCTGGCGTGCTCGGCCAAAATCATCAGCACATATTCTGTTTACGTGTTGATCCTGCTGTTGATGGATATAACAACACA